ATGTGCTCCCGTCAACCAACCACATTCCTACTCCAGCGGGGGGCGGTGCGGGTGTGCGGGCTCTTAACCACCGATCCATGGGCATACTTCCACAGCCGTGCTCCGACATCTCCTAAGTTACATGCGAGTGTTGCTTGCTAATTCCTTCATTGTATTCGGTGGAAACTCGTCTAAACCTTTTTTTACTTGTTGAAGATTGTGAAAACATTCTCGGTATTCTGCTCATAATAGTCCGGAAGCCATGGATTACTTTTGCAAAACCGCCTTTGGTGTGAGATGTGTCTACTGTACTATCCAATTTAATTTTATTAAGCCTCAGACGCCTGTAAGCCAGATACAAAGCATTTTGCTAGTTGATTAACTTATAGAGGTGGAACATTTTGCTGTGTTTAATGAATCAACAAATCCCTTTAATTTTTGAATATAGTAGATGCATCATCTTATGAAATGTCAACCGCAATTCATTAATGTTTTTGATCGGAAAAGATAGCTGAAGTGAGATCGTAATACTAATAATTATCCTGTGGCGTAATCCGCAAATATTTAAATCATTTCAGGCTACTGGCCTTCCAAGGAGTTTTTTTCTAATTGCTTGTAAATTTACACTCTGTAGACGATAACAACTTGAATATTATCAATTTTTTCCGTAGCTTTTCGACTCCACTTCAAACAAAACTTCATTCTGTTGAAGTTATGCATAAGATTACTCTTTCTTGTAATCATTGGGTAGAAAATTGCGTAGTTCCTATACGACTTCGGTTTACTAGCCTGTGGAAATGTATCTTTTTGCCTACATGGATAATATTCAGCTTGTGCCTAGGGATCCCTGAAGGCAGGTGTAACTCCAGGTCTTGTTAAAAATTATTCCGCAACTGAAAAAATATTTTTAAATCATAAAGATATCCTTTCTTTATGTATAATTTTTGAAGAAGACGTATTTTGGCGCCAAAGGAGAAGAAGTGATAATGTCTTTGTGCGTATCTTCAAAAAAATGTTTGAATTTAAAAATGCTGCCGAAAGTCAAAGAGAAAAATTAACCTTGCCCCAGTTATGATATTTTAGGGAATGTAGGTTTCGTGGACAGTCAAAAAGTAGATCCTTTAAAATTTTACGCCCTGTGATAACTGTAATAGTAGTGGAAAATGCCATCAGATTTGATTTTTTTAAATTGCTGAAGTAGGGTCGTAATAGTCCAGTATATTTTTACTGAAAAAATATACTGAACTATTACGACCCTACTTCAGCAATTTAAAAAAATCAAAGACATGTTTCAGCACTTCGATTAAAATTTCAGGAATCAGCACATTTACTGCAGGTGCCCGATTGTGGTTTGAGTTTTTAGATAAGATGATACTAAAAACCATAATCGGCAGACTACAATCATCGCTCTTAATATTTGAATGCGGGCTGAAGGAGGC